TCTCTCAATTGGAGAATCGTGGAGTACAGTCCCATGTCCAGACTTCACAATGGAGAATGACAACAAAATCAAAGTATATTTGTACGGTGCTCCTGACATAGGGTAGCATCTCAGACCTTACACACAGCGATGGAGGGTGATTGTTGGTGATTGTTGGTGATTGTTGGTGGTGCCGTCATGAGAAATAAAACTTGAAACGAAAAGAGAGGCTTGTTGCTTTTTTTTAAGGTCTTGTAGTAATATTAATATTAAGTCCACTTGATGTAGCGCCTCTTCAATTCTTCATGACGTCTCGAAAAGAAAAGCAGTTTTTTATAGGTGTCCTGGACAAAAATCTGCGGGAAAAAAATGATCACCCACTTTATGGCTGGCTGTGAGCCGTTTACCTGCAGTGTTGGTATAAAATACAGTCATTGCAGTAAATGCCTTTCTTGCACGTTGAGAGGTTTGAACGACCCCAGATGTCGCTTTATCAAGTGCAAGGCTGTTTGACATTGAGTTAATAAGCAGGTATTAATATCGTTCTGTTAGCCTTAAATGCGACTGAAAAAATGTTTATTGCAAAAGAGAAATATATGTTATTGAAATCAACAGGGTTTGTTAGATTGTATCTCGTTACCAGAGAAATAATGCAATTAAAATGCAGCAATTGTATGAACATTACATACGGCAGATGAGCCAGTCTCCATTATTGGAAGACGCACGGAAATATTTGTGATTGACAACCTGTGATTTGTAATGTCATTAAACACGCGCCTTCAGATTGATCAGTCTAAATTTACTGCAGGGCTATATTAGCTGACGCGTTTAACCCGCATAATGTACACTTTGGCATATTTTGTGAAGTGCTTCGAGCCGTCTCAAAGACATGGTACGGCGCCATTTTAAATCCAAGGATTATTATGATTAAGGTTGTCGATTGAAGTCCAAAGAATTATCTTGAGCCTGGGTGATCCACCCTCTTTTAGCAACTGACTGCCGGACGCGACATTTGAGAAGGTTCCTGGGGACACATAAGCAGTATTTTGGTGTTTCCCGTCCGAAAATATAACCTGCAATAGTAACACAGAAATGCTATATTTTTAATGTTGTAACTGCATTACGTAAACTCACTCCATTTTAATTACATGTAGAAGGATATTTTGAAAATTTCGACAAATTTTGAACAATAACAGAGGTATTTTTCTCCAGGTGTCTTTCTCTCTGTGTGCCCCTGCTTATGTGTCTCACTCTGTTTGCATAGCTCTGCATCTCTCTCGCTCTCTCTCTCTGTGCCTCTTTATGTCTGTGTCTCCTTAAACCTCTTTCTGTTGGTGATTCTGTATCTCGCTCTGTCTGTGTGCCTCTCTGTGTGCCTCTCTGTGTCTCTATATCTATCTGTATGTATGCGTTGTACCTGGATCTGTATCACTTTCTCTGTCGGGCCATCCTTATATCTCTCTGCATATATGTTTGTGTGTCACTGCATCTCTGTATATATCTGTGTGTGTCTCTCTATCTCTGTGTATATCTGTGTCGGACTCAGTATATATCTGTCTCACTTTTCCTGTACCTCTCCGTGTCTTTGCAACTGTGTCTCTATATCGCTCGTTGTCTTTACTCTCTTTGTCTTTGGGTTTCTGTCTCAAATTCTCGTCCTCTTTCTCCCTTTCTATCTGGATCTAGCTTTAAATATCTTTGTGATTTTGTGTGTGTGTGTGTGCGTGCGTGTTTCTCGCTCTGCATCTTTTCTCGGTCTGTGTGCATTCTTCTCAATCCCTCTTTGCTTCTGTGCGTATTTCTTCCTTTCTCTGTGTCTAACGCCCCTCGCTCCTTTTCTCTTTCCGCCTGTATTACACTCCATCTGCGTCTCCCTCTCTCCCTCTCTCTCTCTCTCTCTCTCTCACTCTGTCACTCTCTCTCAAAGCATATATATATATATGTCTTTCTCTCTTTAAGTGACAGAGTGCATCTCTCTCTGTACCGCAAGCTTTGTCACTGTAACTCTTTACCACTATGCATACAACGGACGGAGAGCTTCCGAGAGCGAAGTAGGATTTGTTCCTTCTCCCTTTCAATCTACACAATTGCGACTTGATTTGGAAAAGGCGACTGTTGCTCCAGCAGAATGCGCACAGCTTCCATTTCATCAACACTATGTAAACTGTACAAATGGATCATTATGACTGATCATGTCTCTCTCTCTCTCTCTCTCTCTTTCTCTCCCTCTCATTCTCTCTGTAGCTAACCTAGTGGCGATTGTGATCCTGGCTGGAGGGACGTGCGGTCTCTCCAAATGTATCTCTCTCTATTTGGTGACCATGTCAGTGGCTGATCTGATGGTGGTTATTGTCGGGGTGATTTCCAATCGCATAGTTTCTTTTTACTTCCCATATTCATTCGTGTACATCACTCACGTTTGCCGTCTGGTAAACGCACTGGTTTGTGCAACAAGGGCAATTTCTGTCTGGTTAACTGTGGCTTTCACCTTTGATCGATACGTCGCCATCTGTTGCCAAAAACTGAAAGCTAAATATTGCACTGAAAAAACAGCTTGTACAATGATAGCGGTATTCAGTGTATTCTTCCTTGTGCAAAACTTTCCCTGGTACTTTGCATATGAACCATATAACATAGTTAATAACATACCGTGGGGTTGTCAATATAAAACAAACTATTATACGTCTCTCCCATGGATAGTATTTGACACGCTCAACATTATTTTAACTCCGTTTCTCCCATTTGTTTTGATTTTGCTGCTGAACGCCCTGACTGTCAGCCACATACTGGTGGCCAGTCGAGCCCGCAGTAGATTGCGGGGACACAGCAATGGGGACAGGAATAGAGGAGCGAGTGACAGTGATCCAGAGATGAGGAACAGAAGGAAATCCATCATTTTACTATTTGCTGTTTCTGCCAATTTTATATTATTATGGATAACATTTGTTTTATTTTTCTTATATTGGAGGGTTTCAAAAATATATT